TCTTTGTGGACATATAAATTTTTAAGTGTTTTATAATATTAAATTAAATAAGAAACATAATAAGTATTGAGTATTTATTTTTATTTTACACTTGACAATTTCAGAGTGTTCAATAAATTAAAGACGGGAAATCGTTTGACAAATATAACCAACAATATATAAAGTGCAATCTCATAATAATTATCTCATATATCAATTTAAAATTTGCAAATACTCATTGTATATTTTCTTCAAATTAATAATCACTTTTAGTGCTTTAACTTTTAACTTAATACTACGAATTGTTGCGACTTTGAAAACATTTTTATTTTTATGAATTTTGTTCTTCCCCATTTTTTCTGTATTTCTTTATTTATATCATTCTTTATAAACAAACTATTATAAATAATTAATCACACTAATTTTAAATTATTTAACTAATCTTAAATTTCTTCGTTGCTGGCTCCTCGCCTGTAAGTGTTTTCAGTAAAAATGATACCCGAATCATTTGTTTATTTGGTGAAACATCCCTAATATTATGTATACTAACAATAGATTCAGCAGACAATGTATAACCAAGTTTTTCTTCAACCAATAATCTTCCAAGCATGCAAACATCATCTCCTTTATCTGCTTTCACAAAACAATATACATGAAATATAGGTGGCTTAAGACATACATTTTTAAATTCTTCTTGTGTAAACCAATCGGGAAGTATGTCCAAAAATTCAATAGCTGATGCAGGTAAATTCATTATTATATGTTCAGAACCAGGTAAATTTTGAGCCCGTCTCGTCAAAATATTATCTTTAACAACTTCTCTCAAAAAATTTCTACCATCCATGTTAAAAGCTTTAAAATTATCTTTTACCTTGTTAACAAGAGCGTTTTTTTGAAGCCATTTGTAAGATTCAGGATTTAAGTCATTAGCAAATACTTGGACTTTTTTACGTGCGGCAGGAATTGCAAAGGGTCCTACTCCTGCAAATACATCATACAGAATATCACCTTGGGTCATAAATGTTATAATTCGTGTATGTTCAGTAGATAGACGTGGATTCCAGTACACTTGTGCAAAGTCAAACTGATATGTACAACCATGTTCTTTTGCAGATGTTATTGTATTTCTTTCACCTGCTAAGATTTCCATAGCAAAATATCGGAACGATGTATTAATTGTATTTATTTTATTTACTACTGTTCGTGCATTCGCAGTCTTATCGAGAAATATCTGACCAATAATAGATTTGTATGGCAAATGTACATTACGTAAATTCAACTGTACAATATGTCCTACTAAACTGTACGCTGTAGGAACTTCAATATCTTCTGGGAGAATTGATTTTAATATCACATCACGACGCCAATTATCATACTTTAGTGTAATGTCCATTGTACTAAAATATTCATATTGATCTATTAATAATTTTCTATCATTCTCAGTAATATCTTCAAATTTCGTGACAATATCAGGATTTAGATAAATAATAGCTCCATCATTTATCTTTTCAACTGATTTAAAATTACACATCTTTAACAAATATTTCTTTAATACACGTATATTTTTTGAGACAGAAATATCACGTAACTTTAACGTAGATACAGTCAGAACTCTTGTAAATGCATCACGATCCAAGCACATCATCCCACGGACAGACGTCGGAGGAACCAGCAAGGAAGTAGTAGTTGTATAAGTCATAGTAGTTGTATAAAAGCTGTACTGGTTTTTCAAGCAGCAAGATTGCCGTACAACACTGAAGAATCTGCCAATTGCCATATACAGGATCATACACTGCAGAACAATACAAACAACTAACCGTAGTAAAATCTCAATTTATTTAATAATGTTAAATATATAAAAATAATAATAGAACATCTATATACAACAGTGATCCCGAATTTAAATGGTTAAACTTCGGATGCATGTAGGGAATCGATAAACTAAGAAAAAAGTCTTTTAGAGATATACTTGTTTTTGCTTCGTTTTGGAGAAAACCGCAAAAAAAAACAAAACATAGTTTTCATTTTTATATTTTATTTATTACTTATTCATTCACACTTATTTATTCACATTATCGCTTGCTTAACGCAAATATTGTTCAAAATGTTGGCCTATTACAGCAACGTATGCATTGCTTCTTGTTGAACATTGGATAGTTCATTTGCACTAATCTGGTCAACGTAATGACTCATCGAGTTTGCACTCTTTTGTTTTCTAAAGAATCTAAAGTATTTCTAAAGTAAGCATTTCTAAAGTGAGCATTTCTGAGAAAAATGTAGGGTCATACAAAAATTGTAAGATTTAAAATAATCTATGTACTGATTTTAGCAGTTTGACCTTAAATGGTGCCATCAAGTTAAAATCAAATTGATTTTTTTTAAAGAAACATCCTATTTTTATTTAAAAAAAAATTTAATAACTGATGTCAAGAGCTTTCAAAGCACATTATAATAATACATCTTTTAACTAGTATTTTTTGAATTTTGAGACTTTCGAGTATGAGAAAGTTACGATACCAGCATTAGTATTATCTAAGGTGTATCGTGTGAAGATTACTCAGTTAATTAATTATTAAAATTAATTTATAAGCATGTGTATGTGTGTCTCTACCTTCTTCTCTTCCCCTCCTCGCACTTTACAGTCATCTTTGACTGTAAAGTACTTAAAATATTAGTGCTAATAACAGAAACGTATATTCCTTTTAATAACGCGAAGATGAGGCAAGTTTGTTTTATACATAAGTGGCAGAACTTTTCAATCAATCTCTTAGAAATGAAGCAATGATATTATACATCTAAATCGACTGTCATTCATTTGAATATTTGTCATTCTTTTAATCCTAGCTTGTTACACTTATTTTTAGTTTCCCCACCAGACTTCATTGAGGTCTGTAACTTCGTCAAGCTACACCTCAGAAAGCATATTTTTTAGCTTATTACGTGTGAAATTGATATTTCACAATTAGTAAGAGAAAAACAGATAAACAATAATTAAATAAAAAATATTTCATTCTTATAATACATAAAAAAGTTAGTCGAAGAAAATCTGAAATTTTTCACATTGCGATTTCGTTAATTGATGGGATAAAAGTGAACAGATTCTTGTAAATTCACATTGAGGTACTATATAATAATAATTAATATTAATAATTATTTTAACATGCTATAGATATTAAAGGAATAATATCAAGAATATTAAGGCTTGTATTCATAGTTCTCACAGTTAGTGCCTCATATCCAATGCTTCCTTTAATTTATCTTCAAATAATCTATGAATTATTTTATTGGCTATTGAGCACCTAAAGATAAATTTAAAAAGTTTTAAATAAGGCCTATGAATATGGGATATATGAATGGATATATGAATACATTCATAATATTAAAAATGTTAACTAATATTCTTGGAATATTATATTCATTGTTAATAATATTCATATAACATTCTAACAATATTGTGTGTTTATCAGGACATATAATATATTTAATTTGTATAAAATTTAATATACGTACATTATTATGTTGCTTCTTTGTAATATACATAATATGTCATAAATACGTTTTAATAAATTGACAAACAGATGTAAAAACCACAAAGATGAAAAAATAATGCTTTCATAAAGATTATTTTCTTTGCTAGTTGTCACCAGATGACGAACTTAATGTGCATTCAATCTGTCCTCCCAAATTGCATGACATAAAAATATCTTCTTTTTAACTGTTGCACTGTTTATCTTTCTTCTTTTCTTATATAAAGAACAAAAAGAAGAAAAATGAAATGTGCAAAAAGTTCAATTGAAAAGAATATAAGCTAATGCCCGTTTTTACTGATATAAATTAATTTTAATCTTGGTTTAATTTATTTTTTTCTAATTCTAAAAATTAGAAAAGAATAAAGACTAAATGAAACTAAGATTAAAGTTAATTTTCATTGGTAGAAGGACACAAGTTACATTAACTTTTAAGGTTAAATGAGAATCATATTATCTTCATTATAAAATTATACTAAAAGTAGAAAGAAAAAGAAATGAATTAAAAAAATGAAATTATTTACCTGATAGCTTTATAAGAATATTTAATACAGGTATTTTGGCCAATTTCAGTTAATAAAAAACAAATTAATAAGAATCGACACTCTTGACTATTGACAGCAGAGAATAAACCATGTGGAACCATGATGGAAAAAAGGTAAGACAACGCGCATAACGGCAATTCAGAGCAACCAGCTAGCCAATCAAATTATAGTCCTAAATAGTAGCGCGATATTCAAATACAGTGATTTGTAATTCTATATATCTATGTTATTTCTGTCGCGTACATATTTTGTTTCTGATGAATAGATAATAAAGTAATAGCGCAAAAACGCAAGGCCATATGCCATATTTAATTTTTTATACTTTATAGCATAGATTGATGCCGTCAAATATTCTGCTTCTTAAATTCTTTATAAAAAAATTAAAATACAATTTAAAATAATGTAATAATGTAACCTATTTATTCAACCATTTTAGAGTTTAGTAAATAATTTTTCAACGTTTTAAACAATCCACGAACACGAAAAAGAAATTTCCGCCAGAGATCTTCGACCGCAGTTATGCCTATTCGACTCTGACTCAGCGGATGACTGCGACAATCAGTTTTTTAAGCTCATTATTCAATTATATATATTATATATATATATACTTGTATGTGTGTGTATAATTGAATTTGGATCGCATATTTAATAAACGTTTTTCTCCCATTTTTTTCTTTTATATTTATTTTACATTTATATTTGCATTTTACAATACAAATCTTGCACTTCTAAAAATATATAATTTTTAATGAAAAATATATAATGTTCCTTCGAGTTCATTCTTTTTTTACATTTTTACATTTTTTATACACAAGTTAATTATTAAAAAATAATTATATTTTACAAATATGTGAATAATAATATGAATGTCTGTATATTCGGTATTATTTTCTTGTAAATTATTATGTCACTTTACATATATAAATACATATGTAAATACATCATCGAGATCTGCTATCATCTTTATTCTATCGATTTAATGGACAGAATTTTTTCTTGTAATAATTTCTCAAGCTTGCGCACATCAACGGTAAATTTGCGAATGCCTTCGCACAACTTATCGGTTGCCATTTGATCTTCATTTAAAAGCCATCTAAACTCAGCTTCATCTAAGCTAATTTTTTGAAGATCGCACTTCTTCGCTGATTCTACACTCAAAACTTTGTGTACAACCTCGTTGCTCTTTTCCAATTCTTCCAATAAGTTAGGACTTATGGTAAGAAAATCACAACCGGCGAGTCTTTTAATTTCACCTAATTATCAGAATGTTTAAGTTAAAATAATAAATAATATGATATACATATATATGTATATATAAATGTATGTATAAATAATTATGTATGTATAAATATGTATAAATAATTTATAATTATGTGAATATGGGTCAAAATATTTACCAACGTTCCTGAATGAGGCACCCATTACAACCGTTTTATAACCGAACTTCTTATAATAATTGTAAATTTGTGTTACAGAAATAACGCCTGGATCCTCTTTTGCTTCATAAGATTTTTTATCTGTATTTGCCACGTACCTAAACAATTTTATATTTTTACTCTTGTACAAATGTATAAACAATGAGATTAAAACACTTACCAGTCCAAAATTCGACCAACAAACGGCGAAATAAGAGTAACTCCAGCTTCTGCACAAGCAATGGCTTGAGCAAAAGAGAACAACAATGTCAGATTGCAATGGATTCCATACTTTTCCTCCAATTCTCTAAAAAAAAGTTACCAACTATTAACAGGATATTCATTAATCGAATAGAAGATAAATTTTTTTTAATTTGGTGTCTTATTTACTTTGCCGCTTGAATGCCTTCCCAAGTCGATGCAAGCTTAATCAAGATGCGTTCTTTGCTCACTCCAAGTCCTTCATACAAAGCGATTAATCTTTTTGCCTTTTCGATACTGGCTTCCTTATTGAAGGACAATCTGGCATCTACTTCTGTGGAAACTCTTCCAGGAATTATATTTAAAATCTCTTTGCCAAATAAAACACATATGATATCAAGAGCTGCTTCAACTTGCTCAGTCAAAGTACTGGAAAAGAAAATCTCTACGTTAATACTCAAAAGTTAGATCCCCGCGTGCTTGGTAGCGATATTCTCACTTCCGCCAGTGAGAGAAAATATTTGATTGCGGCTGTCTATGGCCGTATTATGCGGAAAAAATATATGTATAAACTAACGCAGTTTATTACAATTTTCCTTCGATTCACATGACAAATTGACAAATATTTAAAAACTGTATTCTTTTCACAGCTCTTTTTTAAATTAAACGGAAAAAATATGATTTTTTTTCCGTTTAATTTAAAAAATTTCGCAATTTTCGTTTCATGTTTCTCCATCATATGCTTACTTTTTAACATATCAACATATCACTACTAGTTATTTAAATCCCTGATTTAAAAGTAAACGCGACATTTTAATAAACTTTGTGTAGATGACACATATAAAAAGTGCTCGTTTTGTTGATAGCTCAGTATTGAAATGATCAATCTCATTGTAATTGCACAAGAAATTATCGTCTTCTAGTACAATGCAGTTTCAAAAAATTTCAAAAAAAATGTCATTCTGATCGTTTTCAATTCATGAGTATCTTACCTTAAAGTATCATGCACGATTATCAATATATTAAATTTATTTAAATATGCTTTAATAACATTGCACGAAGGCTGATAGCTTAACGATAAGTTAATCATAACATAATAAATATATATACTTACGATCCAGATTTTTTGCCATATGCTACAGCTTTCTCAATTAAATGAGCGTATTTCTTTTGATTAGCGGCAGCGAGAATCAAAGAGGGATTTGTCGTTGCATCTGTAGGCTTAAATTGCTCCATAGCTATCGTGAGAGTAACAATGTAATATTGTTAAAATATAATATTAATAACATTAATGTTTATTGTTTGCAATATTAATAATTATTTTCATTTTGTTTTCATCGTTTTATATTCACATTTTAAAAATATCCGTTTATTTATTCATTAACAATTTGTTGAAATGCTCCTATTTAATGTATCTATCAAGGGTAAAAGAGTAATAAACATTCCACTCTTTAAAGGTTACTGTTCAACATACAACAAGCAAAGGTCATGGTATATATTTCGCATATACACTGATATCATTTTATCAGTTGGATACAGATCAGTCAACATCGTTTTCGGAAGATCCATGGAAAGTTGCGATAAAAATTTCAAATATACAAGAAATAAAATAAACTCGTGTATTTAGATAAATCAAGAATGTGTTACCATTAATGAAATTATTGTAACATCACTTTATCATCAAAAAAGGCGAGATGATTAGACGCGAGAAAAATTTTCTTAATTTTCAAATAATTCAGCTAACGCATCCATATAGACACATGTATTATTAACGAGTTTCTTTTAAACAAAATCACATTGATAAAAATGTGCATATACTGAATAAGGCATTTAAATTGAAATATTTGAATATTTTACACACATACAAACACACACACACACACACACACACACACACATAATACTTGAATATCTTATATAACGTTAATGTACATATAAAGCGTGAAAAATTTCCTTTATCGAATATAATGTTTTTTATTCATATCTAATCTCATCATTCAATCAATATTTTGAAGAGGAACTTTAAAAAAAATGTTCCAAAAGTTACATAGTTTGAAGATATAGTAAAATCAATTATCGAAAAAAAAAACAATTTTTCAAGGTCACATAAAAGTCATCGCCGTTTTTTTAAATAGAATGTAATTTTTCTTTTAGATAATATAATTTTTTAACATTATTCTTCAAGTATAAAAAAATATTAATATTTTATGAGATATTTTTTATTCTTGCTTTACAGATTGCACTACAACCTTCCTTTTCATCAAATATCAAATATTGGGTCATCTAAAAAGTATCCGCGGTTTTTTGTCACTAGATGGTGTTGATGGTCAACACAAAAAACGCGGATACTTTTTAGATGATCCAATATATATTTATTCCATTTAAGTTCCAAAAGTACACTTTATTCTGGTACCAAAAAAAATCATATCATTGGTATAAATCATAATCTGGTATAAAAAAAATCATACAATTCTATTTTAAAAAATGGCTTTGAAAAATCAAATTTTTCAATTCTTTCTTCGATTTTTTATCATTACTTATCTCCCTTCAGACAATATAATTTTTGTCTAGAACATTTTTTTTCTAAAATTAATGATTTCTTTTCGAGATATTCAAATGTCTACCATATATAGGAGGTCCCTCCATATATAGGAAGTCTTAAAAGTGGCGCAAGTTTTAATATTTAGTAGTAGTGCCATAACAATCAATACTCAAATTAGACAACGGGAACCAAAAAAATTACAAATCGTATAATAATGATTAAACATAATGATTTTAAGATAACCATGATAATATATCTTAAAGTGCTTATAATTATAGCTGAACTAGTATACGTACTCTTTAGAACTTAAAGTGGAATAAATACATGTTTGATATTTGCCGAGAAAAAAAATTGTAGGGCAAGAACAGAGAACAAACTTATGATTCGAAGAGGTCACGTGGGACGCATTCGAAAAAAGTGTAAGTGTTGCAAGATCTCCCTCCTCTCGACACCTTTACGCTGACGTATTACAAATTACAAGTATTTGTCATCGTTACTAACCGAATTCGAATTTATTACCTTGAAAATCGCCAGTATCGGCGACAATCGTAGTGAGGTCTTTCAGCTGGTTTAACGAACTCATGGTCTTCGTTTTCTTTGACTGAGGCTCGCTCATGGTTGCCGTAGGTATTTATGCGTACGCGTAGAGATCAGCAGAGATGAAAAATTTTGATGTCTCACTCACGCAAATGCTCCGTAACCACTGATATCAGTGATATCTCATCGTATCGTATCTACGACACATCCATTGAACGCGGCGATTGGCTGTTCGATAGAGAATTTTCGAAAACCCAAGATTCATATTCTCGACGCTCAATCAGCACGTTCGAAAAAAAGAAACCTGTCCAATGAAATATCGGCTGAATCTCGATAGTAGGTTGGCCAACCGTGCGAAAATAAAATTTATAAATGCGCGCGCAATATAAAGATTTTTTAATCCAAAATTTTGCGCGAGATAACTGAAACAAACAACTGAAACTGTTAATTATAACTGATTTGTATCAACACAAAAATAAATAATCTATATAAGTACATTAATGTAATTTAATTGATAAACCGCGACAAGTTAATTAAAAAAAATTTGATCTAATTATGTAATCATGAAATATCATGAAATAATTATAGAGATTGAAATATTATAAATTTCTTTTGTAGAATATGACGTAAAACTTGCACCATGTTTAAACTTAATTTTCATACAAATATAGTTTTATTTCATGATTTGACAAATATTTTAAAAGTTGGAAGCTTATTTTCTAGAAAAAAAAAAAACGATATTATTATGTATACATAAGAAAATTTTCGTAAAAATTGTATTTATTAAAGTCTATTTAAATTAAGTACACAGTGTGAATACAACTTACTGACCTATATCAATACATTTCAATTGAAATGGAAGTTATATAAAAATAAATATGAGTATATAATGTTATTATATTCATAACACAAAGGTAAATAATTTCATTTAATATCTCTATATATGTTTTGTTTGCCATTCTTAATTTTTTCATCTTGACTATCATAAATAATTCAGAATGAAAATCGGATATAAAAACGTGATTGCACTCGTGACTTTCATATACATATACAACGTGATAATTCTCTCATCCTTTTTTAAAACAAAAAGCTTACGATTGATTGCACCATTTTTTTTCAAAAATAGCATTTTCTAAGTCTATAAATATAATCTTTTTTGTTCTATTTAAATGCATCAATTATTTTAATTATTGCATTTAAATTATTTCTATCTTTAAGTAGATAAGTATTTAAAAGTCCATGTATCAATTCAATATTAACTACTAATAAAAATTTAAGACTTAAGTCGAGCACTACCTCGTTAAAAATATTTATATTTCGCTATTATCAGACTTTCTCAGCAGATGTATGTTTATCGAGGGATACAGTTTTCGGTTGGTGGCTATAAAGGAAAATCGAACAGATGACAAGGAATGCACCCAAAGTAAACTGAAACGACAAGTGAAAGTCGAATAGATAAACGGAAGCTATACAAGAAATTATAATAGCTAAAGACGTAGCGAATCCTTTCAATATGTTATCGGCGTATTTGACTACCATAGCTACAATCAGTCCACCACCCGCTTGTAGGACCACTAGATAGCAAATGAACAAATCATAACCGAAAAAGAAGCCCTGCTTGCGTATAATACTACTGTCTTGTAAAAAACATGTGCTTAGGCCGAATGGTATAGATAACACACTCAATTGCACGTTTCGCATCCACACGGAAATGTCGGAGCCCTTGAGAATCTTCTCGAAATAAATTCCGGCAAAGCCAGAGAGAAAACACGCGCTTAAAGCGGCAGAAAAACCCAACCAGTGGTTTTGTTCAATACCCGAAGGTAACTGTGCTTTTACAGTTTGTGCCAATTGTACCAGAACCACTCCAATAACCAAGAGTACAAGAGCACCCCACTGGGTAGTGTGTAAAGATCTACGTAATATCGTCACTGCGAAGAAAGCTGTCGTCAAAATTTTCAACTGATACGTGACCTGAAAATATATTTATTTCAAATATATTATAAATATATTATATTTCTACACACAACATGCACACATATATAGAAGAGTGCCGATATGTAAAAGAAATTATATCCACAAATAAAAAAATGTAAAATATTTTGAAATCTCTGAATCCCTTTGTTTCTTGGTTATGAATTGAACGTTTTAAAAATGCTACAAATCTTATAAAATCAAGAGAAAAAGTAAGTCAAGTTGCAGAAAAAGTTAAATACTATTTAACCAACTTAGATTTATTCATATTTTAATTTTAATTTTTTTTTATAATTTTTTTATAAATATTTCTTTTGGTCAATATTTTATTTTTATTTAAATTTGAAAAATAAAAAAATTAAAAAAAAATTTTTTTTCAATAAATATCTAAATGTTGTGTTTTGTAATGTGTCACTTCTTTTTAATATTAAAATGATAATAAAAATGCTTTAAAATCAAAAAATGCTAAAAATTCTGTTTAATTCAATAGTAACTATTTCTGCAGTTATGAAAAAAAAAATAAATGATGGACACTTCAATTTCAAAATCAATTAAATCTTTCCTCCAACTGCAAAACCATTCAAGGGCATTTTAATAAATAGAAATTTCTTATGCTAGCTTGAATGAGAAAAATTTTTTCATTTAAAAAAATTTCAAGTGCAGCTAACGACTTTTTCATATATAAATAACCAATCGATTATTCATATTAATAAATATTTATTAATTCATATTAATTGTTATTCTTCTACATCTTTTAGAAGTAGACAAAACATTTAGTGATATGTCTTACCTGATGCGTAGCTGCATCTAAATTAGATGCAGAAACATAAAGTAAATTATTTTGAATAATGTACAGAAGGGATGGCACACAAACTTTCAAAGTGTCGATAGGTTGCTTCACGATTGTCGTATGTAATGCTTTATAAAATTTCTCAAAGTTTCCTTCTTCGACATATACTAATATAAGACAGGTAATCAATTTGACTACTTCAGCCATCACAACAGCTAAAAAAAAAAGATGACATAGTTATCTGTGAATGAAATAAGGATTTTCTATATTATGTGAAGATATTAAGATTGACTGTAACACAGTTTATAATATTTACCAGTGGAAGAAAGAAACATGTCTCCTGCTCTGGTACGTGAATATCGCATGCTAAGGCCAACCATAGCATTTTGAACTGTGAGAGTAACTAAACTCACAAACTTTAATGTTTGCCCAGTTCCTATAACATATATCTTCGATGCTTATATGTATGCCAAAGAATATAATGCATAACATTTATATAAATATTCATAATATTTATACAAATATTCAGAATATTTATACAAATATTCATAATATACTAACTTTGCGAAGTCTTGTTCATGTTGGTAATGTCTTTTGAACTTTTTTAAAACTTGGAGATATTTTTTCACAAACTACATTTTTCCTAGAATTATAAAAAATGTCTCAACCTTCTATTAAAAAAAAAAATATATTTCATTACTTTTCTTCTCTCTTACGAAACAATTAGTTTTGATTCTACAATCATGAAAAGAAAGAAAATGTATAATACAATTTACGTATGAAATATTAATTACTATCAAGGTATAAAGGTAATTGTTAAGAATGTAAATAAAAGTGATAAAAAAACAATATGATTTATTTGCAGAAGAAAAAATAAATCAATGAGACAATAAAGAATAATTCGCAATATACATATGACATAATGTTTTACAATACAAAACGTTATTTTCGATTCGTAATATACATTAAGATAAAACAATTAAAATAAAATTGTATAATCCACATTATATTCAATAATATACACATATTGACATTTGTACAGTGACAATCAACCGTGTAAGTTTTAATAAATAAATTAAAAAATTCATATCCTTGTAAAGATCTAGCGAAAAACCGTTAAAAGCTACGATAATTATTACGATAATGGACAAAATAGGGTAATTAGCAATTTTGAATAGCATGCAAAATAATCCTTATCGAAGGCAATATACCTTTCCCGGAATTTTTGTACACGTTGGACTGACACGTTGAACATTCGTACTTCGTAAGAATGCCTAGTTATTTTCCTGTCGACGTCAAAGTTGATTGGCCTTATTCTGGTTTTGTTTTCTACAATATTTTAGGTATTTGTTTAATTTAGCATACACAAACATAAAAATTGATTTAAAGAAATACTAATCGACACGTTTTTTTTTTCGTGAAATTAATGAATTTGGCAGAAAAAAAATGTCTCTGCTCTGTACACCGAAATATCAATTTTTAAAGTTGACGATTGTTGAGGTTAGGAAGTACGTCACAGTCATTCCAATACTACGATGTGAGCAATCATCTTCCATGCTCATGCGCATGCATTTTAGATTTTTCTCGCTATGTATCTATTTGAAAAACACAAATTCTCTGCTTAAAACGTAAATTCTTTGCTTTAAAAAAAAATTATGTAAGAAAATAATTTATTTTTCAGAGAAGCAGAAAATTAGTGTTTCTAAAGCAAAGAATTTGTTTTTAAAGCAGAGAATTCGTATTTATAAAGCAGAGGATTTGTGTGATTCATGCCCATTTCAATCAACGTAGATTAACTTTAATCTCGGTTCAACTTACTTTTCGTCTTTTTCTAATCTTTAGTTAATCTATATTGGTGAAAATGGGCATAAAACAGAGAGAAATAAAAGCAAATATCAGGCAAATATAAGGCAAATACGCATGTAACACATTTCCTAACCTCAATAATCGTTGAATTTATCGATTAATATCTCCACGAAGCAGAGCACTTTTCTGCTAGATCGTTTATTTCACAAAAAAAATGCATTGATTAGTATATTTTTATTCATTTTTGTGTTTATATATAAACAGTTACCCTATTTTACTCCTAACCTATCCAAATCGCGAAAAACGATAAAATAATTGTCTTTATTACAGCAAATCATAATGCATTTCATATTTATATAGCAAATATATAAATTTATACAATTATACGTAATTGACAACAATTATCTTTCAAATGATAACATCTGATCTCTACATAAATTTATAAAACTGAGCCAATCGCACACAATTTACTCCAAAATTATTTATAGCAGTCATTAATACCCGTTTCTATCAATGTAGATTAAAGTTGAATCCTCATATGGACAAATAACGCTTTGATATCGAGCGCTGATTGGTGGAAAATGGATTATGGAGATTAATTTATCCCCTTCATCAATTACAATA